TCAAAGTTGCCTGTAAATACCTGAAACAGGCAGATCACCGAGATCTTACCCAAGTTACAGAGTCAGTTCAAGGCCAACTGGGCAGCTTAGTGACAGCTTGTCTCAAAATAAAAATAAAAAGAGTGCTAAGGGTATAGCTCACTGGTATAGTACTTGCCTGTGTGAGACTCTAGGTTCGGTATCTAACACTGAAAAAACTTTTAAAGCATTTATTTATTATTATTATTATTATTATTATTATTATTTTTTTTGGTGTTTTTGAGACAGAGTATCCCTGTAGCCCCAGCTGGCCTGGAAATCAGTATGTAGACCAGGCTGGCCTCTAACTCACAGAGATCCGCCTGCCTCTACCTCCCAAGTGCTGAGACTAAAGGCGTGCTCCACCACGCCCGGCTCAGCATTTATTTATTTATTTAGTGTGTGTGTGTGTGTTGCACACCTGTGAGGTAGCACACATGTGGAAGTCAGAGGACACTTTTAGGAGTTGGTTCTCTCCTTTCACTGTGTGAATTCCAGGGTTCCAGGGATTGAACTCAGGTCATCAGGCTTGGCAGAAAACATCTTTCCCCGCTGGTACATTTCACCAGTCCCTGAAAAAACATTTTAAAAAACATTTATTTTGAGGGTTGGGTAGTTGGTTCAGTAGTTAGTTCCAGGGGGATCCAATGCCCTCTTCTAGACTCAATGAGCATACATAGGTGTACTTATGTACATGAGGGCAAAACACTCATACACACTTAAAAAATTTATTTTTATTATCTTAAACAAGTTGGTATGTCAAGGTATCTAAGAAAGTCAGAGGTGCTGGACCCCCCTGAAGTGGGAGTTAAAAGTGATTGTGAGCTGCCCAATATGAATGCTGGGAACCAAATGCAGGTCCTATGCAAAAGCAGCACGTTTTTAACTGCTGAGCCATCTCTCCAGCCCCTGAAGAAAATTTTAATATAGATTTAAGCATGGTGTTGAGAGAGATACACACATATATGTACTTAAGAAAAGGTCAGTAGCTTGGAATGGCGATGCACTCCTGTAATGCCAGAATGCGAGAAGCTGAACAAGGTGAATCACCATGAGTTATAGCCCACAATGCGAGACTCTGTCTCAACCCACGCCTAAAGTAAAAAGACTGAAGACGTAACTCAGTGATAGAGCACTTGCCCAGCATGCTCAAGGCCCTAGGTTCAATCCCCCATATTGAAGAAAAGGGCAGCAAGGCGGTTTAGTAGGGTACTTAGTGCCAAGCCTGATGATCTGAGTTCAATCCCTGGAAGCCACATGGTGGAAGGAGAGAACTGACTCCCTCAAGTTGTCCTCTGACCTACACACACACACACACACACACACACACACACACACACACACACATGCATGCACGCATGCACTGAAAAAAAAAAGCAGAGGCCCAGAAGGTCAGAGTTGGAGGAGTAGTGTGGCTCAGCTATTTGTACCCTCAACTTCTCATTTATGTTTTTTATTTTTCTGTTTGTTTCTAATTTTTATTTATTTGTTTGTCTTTTTGATATAGGGTCTCCCTGCAGCCTCAGCTGGCCTGGAACTCACTATGTAGACCATGCTGGCCTCAAACAGAGATCCACCTGCCTCTGCCTCCCAAGTGCTGAGGTTAAAGGAGTGTTTGCCTGCATGTATGTAAGTGCACCGTATGCACGCAATGCCTAAGGAGACCAGTAGAGGGCAGTACATGGACATGGCATGTGGGGGAGGGAAAAAACGTGGACCAGATTCAGATCCCACTGTCCACTGCCTGCAATAATGCTCTGCTATGTCAGCCTCCTGTCTCATGATGACATTTTTGGCAATTCTTAGAACCTCCTGTATAAACTCCTGTACAGTAGTTTAGTGTGAACAAGCCAAAGCAGTGCGAAAGTAAAAACTAAAACTCCAATCTCCAAACCCATTTAAAAGCACTTAAAGTATTTTATTTATTTTATGTGTATGAGTGTTTTGAGTGCTTTGCTGGCAAGTATGTTAAGTGTACCACATGTATGCAGTTTCCCAGAGGCCAGAAGAGGGCATTGGATCCTTTGGAATTGGAGTTACAGATGATTGTTAGTTGCCATGTGGGTGCTGGGAACCAAATCTGGGTCTTCTGCAGGAGCAGCAAGTACTCTTAACTACTGAACCATCTCTCCAGCCCCCTAAAATACTTTTTTTTTTTTTTTGAGACAGGGTCCCTCTGTAACTCCAGCTGGCCTGGAACTTGCTATGTAAACCAGGCTGCCCTAGATCTCACAGAGATCCACCTGCCTCTGCCTCCTGAGTGCTGGGGACTAAAGGTATAATAGAAACAGAAGAGCCCATCAAATTGATGCTAAAAGGTCTTGGAATGTGATGGTAATTAAGAACTTTGGAGCAGGAGAAGCTCAGCGACAAGAGATAAAATGGGGGAGGGGAACAGGAATCCTCCCTGTGCTCCCTATGGTTGCACAGGATAGAAGTCTTTGTTTTCTAAAGCTTTCATATTCCTGTGACCTTTACAGCCATATGTTACCTTGCTTAATTATCACATGTACCTTTTAACTTATTTGTCATCTATGTGCTCTTTTGTCTTTTGCCTGCATTTCTTCACATATGAGTATAAAAGCCCCCCCCCAAACTGGAGGGGGCTGATGGGTCAGTCCGCTAGTGCAAAACTAAACTCCCTCTCCTCACCTGACTTCAGCTGTTGGTCTCTGATTTTTCCATAGAAAAGGCATGCACCACCACACCCAGTCCCCAAAAGCACTTAAAAATATTTACTTATTCATTTTTATTTTATATGTATGAGTGTTTTGCCTTCATGTATCTAAATGCACCACATGTGCACAAGGCTGTCAGAGGCCAGAAGGGGGCATCAGAGGCCCTGGAATTGGAGTTATGGATGGTTGTTAGCCACCATGTGGGTGCTGAGAATTGAACTCAGGTCCTCTGCAAGAGCAGCCAGTGCTCTTAACTGCTGAGCCATCTCTCCAGCCCCACCAAAGTACTTTCTTAAGAGCCAACCTGTAATCCCAGCACTGAGGAGGCTGAAGCAAGGGGGATGGTGAGTTTGAGGCTAGCATGTCTCAAGAACAAAACAAAAGAAAGCTCTTATTTGCTAGCAAAGATTGTTTCCAGGGGAAAAGACAGCAGGGGAACATTGGACTCTGTCCCCATCTGTCCTCTGACTGCAGATGGAGGGATGATGTCACCTGCTTGGCAGTGAGGATGACATCCCTCAATCACAGCCCTCCATTATTAAGATCAATGTTGTTTGTTTGGAACAAATTCAGCTCCAGGAACTGCACGATTGGATGCAGGAAGATAACCAATTGCTCCAGTTCCTTCCATTGTAGCAGCTTGCCCAAAACATTCAGTTGTTGGTGTGGTTGATCCCAAGGTTCCACCTGGCACCATAATAAGCAGATCCTGGCACAGAGCAGGGGGCATGGTGCCTCTGTTGTTTATGCCCATAGTACCTCCTATAGCCATTTGGCCTATTTGTATCTGGGGAAGGTTCCCTGGGATCCTTCCTGCTGCCACCATATCACTTTTTCTTCCAAGGAGGTCAGAAGATGTCAGATCCCTTGGAACTGGAACTCCAGATGCTCGTTAGCCACTGTGTGGGTGCTGGGAACCAAACCTATGTCCTCTGCAAAGGCAGCCATGCTCCTAACCACTAAGTTATTCTCCAGTCCCTGATTTATTATTTATTTTTGGTCTTTTTGAGACAGGGTCTCCCTGTAGCCTTAGCTGGCCTGGAGCGTACTATGTAGACCAGGCTGGCCTTAAACTCACTGAGATCTGTCTGCCTCTGCCTCCCAGGTGCTAAATCTCCCAGAGATTAAAGATGTGCACCACCACCTGGTGATTTATTTTTATTTTATGTGCATGAGTGTTTTGCCAGCATGTATGTAAGTGCACTATGTGTATGCAGTGTCCACAGAGGCCAGAAGAGGATGTCAGATCCCTTGGATCTGGAGTTATGGAGGATTGTTAGCTGCCATGTGGTGCTGAGAACCCAGGTCCTTTGCCAGAGCAGCCAGTGCTCTTAACTGCTGAGCCATCTCTGCATCGTTTTTGTTTTTTTGTTTTGTTTTTTTTTGTTTGTTTTTTTTTATTTGTTTTCAAGACAGGGTCTCACTGTTTATACCTGGCTGGCCTGGAATCTTGTTCTGCAGCCCAGGCTGGCCTCAAAGTCACAGAGGTCTACCTGTCTCTGCCCCCCAAATGCTGGAATTAAAAGCGTATGCCACCACTCCTGGCTTAGCTTTCTTTTTAGACAGGAGTTTTCTATGTAATTTATGGTGGCCTCGAATTCACAATCTTCCCGTTCTGTCTCCCAAGATGGGGATAACAGGCAGGAGCCTTTAGGCTGGTTAGAACTAGATTTGGTGTGCCACAAAGGCACAGTCTACAAGGGCCTACAGGTCTGTTTACTTCCTCGCCAGACTTGAGTTGTTAGCCACCAGGGGGCGCCCTCTGCTCCCAAGCTCCAAACACAGCCCTGAGAGCTGTTTTAACTTCCTAAGCCATTGTGACTGAGTTACAGGCAAGAGATGGATGTGAAATTGGTCAACTGTTCTTAAGTCCCTTGTCCTGGTCTCTCTTTTCTCTGATGTGTGGAGGCAATGGGATGTTTCTGTGCCGGTACGCACTCAACGTTGTGTCTCCTAGTATCATATATATATATATATATATATATATATATATATATATATATACACGATTACTGGGTGTGGAGGTGCACGCCTTTAATCCCAGCACTTGGGAGGCAGAGGCAGGCAGGTCTCTGAGTTCAAGGCTAGCCTGGTCTACATAGTGAAGGCAGGTAGATCTCTGTGAGTTCCAAGCCAGCTGGGGCTACACAGAGAAAATAAAATAAAATAAAATAAAATAAAATAAAATAAAATAAAATAAAATAAAATAAAAACCAAAACAAATCCGCTGAGGCTTTATTGTCTTTTCAACAGTCCTTGAGTGTTCCAACACCCATTCACCCATGGATGAGAAGCTGAGTCTCAGAGGACTCAGTAAAGGATAATTTTCTAGGGTGTGCTGTGGACCCGAGGCTAGCACAGGCTCCGTAGGCCCAATTTTGTACTTCTTAACGTCGTTCAGGGGCTCTGGCCCTTCCTCACGCCTCCCTCCTCAGAAAGACAATTGCATGAATGTGATTTCCGGGCCTGGATTCTCTGGTTCCACTCTCTCGCACGCGGAGACCGGGACTGAGCCTGTGGTCCAAAAGCTGAGCCCTAAGGGGTTAAGGCGTGGGTGCCGCCCCTTTCCCGCCTGGCTGGCGGGAGTATGAATAGCCTCGCTCCTTCTCAGGACTCCAAGTCGCTCGGGCTGCTTCCGCCCCATCCCAGCCTAGTCGAGCCTTTTCTCTTCACAAAGCTCCGAGGGCCGCGCCCTTCTCGTGTGCCCCGCGTCCGCCCGCCCTCGGGGAGACAGCAGAGCAGGATGGAGGGCTGCGTCGGGGAAGAATCCTTCCAGTTGTGGGAACTCAATCGACGTCTGGAGGCCTACCTGAGCCGGGTCAAGGCGCTGGAGGAACAAAACGAGCTGCTCAGCGGGGAGCTCAGAGGTCTCCGGGCGCAGTCCGGGGATGCCTCCTGGCGGGCCCGTGCAGACGACGAGCTGGCGGCCCTGCGGGCACTGGTCGACGAGCGCTGGCGGGAGAAGCACGCGGCCGAGGTGGAGCGCGACAACCTGGCTGAAGAGCTGGAGGGCGTGGCGGGCCGGTGCCAGCAACTGCTGCTGGCCCGGGAGCGCACGGCGGAGGAGGCCGCCTGCAGCCGGCGTGCGGTGGAGGCCGAGCAATGTGCCCAGGGCTGGCTGAGCACACAGGCCGCGGATCTGGAGCGCGAGCTAGAGGCTATGCGCGCGGCGCACGAGGAAGAGCGCGCGTACCTGCACGCGCAGGTCTCCTGTGCACCCCGCGAGCCCCCAGCGCTACCCCGCGGGCCCCCAGGGCGCGTCCCGGAGGTGGAGGAGCTGGCCAGGCGGCTGGGCGATGAGTGGCGCGGAGCAGTGCGCGGCTACCAGGAGCGCGTGGCGCACATGGAGAGCTCGCTGGGCCAGGCCCGCGAGCGGCTGGGCAGAGCGGTGCAGGGCGCCCGGGAGAGCCGCCGAGAGCTGCAACAGCTCCAAGCCGAACGCAGCGGCCTCCAGGAGCGCAGGGCGGCTCTGCAACGGAGGTTAGAGGGCTGCTGGCAGGACCGGCTGCGGGCCACTGAAAAGTTCCAGGTGAGGAGGTCCTGGGCCGGGCGAGACCTCCCGAGACATCAGCAAGTGCTCAGGAGGCTTGGAGACCCCCAGTGAAGGAATGGGACGAGGGCGGTTGCATAGTCAAGAGCCCCTGGCCAGAGCACCCTTGGGCAGGCCAGGTCCGGAGGGCGAGACTTCTGAGCACAGCCCATTGAAAGGCCAGCTGGCCAAGACCCGCTACAGCAGCCCCTCAGCGGTTTGGATGGCCCCTAACTGCCATCGGAAGATGCCCAGTAGTACATCCTCTGCTCCTTAGTTCTATGAAGAGCGGGGGGCCGGGGGAGGGGGGGCGAGAGCGACCACCGGCTTTCCTCCCAGTCCAGGGTTGCTGGAAGCACATTCCGGAGCCCTGGGACAGCTGCTACCCCTCATCCTGCACAGATGCTAACAGCAGCTGAGAAAACAGCCTCTTGCCTGGCGTAGACAGAAGTCCCTCCACTGAGCCACCTCCCCACGCCTCTCAGAGGAGGAAGATTCCAGAGCGTGTGGGAAGTGGGGGGGAGGGGGGCAGGGCCTGCTGTGAGGAGCTGGGGATGGGCCCAGCTGCTTTGCTAGGCAGCCATCTCCTCGTATTAGTCGTTTTTCCTTCTGCTTCTACTTTCGTCCTTTTCCTCTCTGTAACCTATCTCCTCTCCTCCCTTAATCCTCCCTCTCCTGTGGAAGCCCGATTCTCAGCAATATGTGCTAACATTTAATCAGCATCTTCAAGAGATGCCTGGTGTGGGAGAGGGCTGGGGTGCCCCTGTGCTTTTTGGGGGGACCCAGCCCAGTGCTCTGGGCAGGCAGCAGTAGGTAGGGGAGCAGGAGTTTGCTTTACAAGGAGGTCAGCAGGAAGCAGAAAAGAGGGTCAGCTCTCCCCTGACTCTGGCTTGCTTTGCAGCTGGCTGTGGAAGCCCTGGAGCAGGAGAAGCAGGGCCTACAGAGCCAGATTGCTCAGGTCCTGGAAGGTCGACAGCAGCTGGCACACCTCAAGATGTCCCTTAGCCTGGAGGTGGCTACATACAGGTACACAGATGCACACACAGAGCAAAGACTCTGGTTAAAGGGCTCTGGGGAATGACTTTACTATTTTCTGTGACTCTCAGTTGCCACTTTAACTTTTTTTAAATTAAATTTATTTTTGAGCAGTGTCTCCCTGTTGCCCCAGCTGGCCTCGAGCTGGCTATGTAGACCAAGCTGTCCTTGATCTCACAGAGATCTGCCTCTGCCTCTGCCTCTGGAGTGTTAGGATCTAAAGTTTGTGACACCATGACCAGCTTCTCAGCTGCCACTTAAAAAAATGATTTATTTTACTTTTATTTGTGTGTGTGTATGTGTGTCTCAATATGTGCACACTTGTGTACAGGTCCCCTCAGAGGTCAGAATAGGGTGTTCGGTCCCCTGGAACTAGAGTTACAGGCCACCCCAGATGAGTGCCGGGAATCAAATTCTGGTCTTCTGGAATAGCAGCTAGCACTCTTAACCACTAAGCTACCTCTCCAGCCACCTCAACTGTGGTTTCTACACTAAGACATGCCCTACCTGAGCCTACTTGCTCCCTCTTGAGTCCATGACCAGAAGTACCTAGTGCTTAGGAATCCTCTCCCGCCAGGAGAAGTGGTGAATGGGACAGCCCCAGTCTTCAGAGAAGAGACTAGAGGGGTGCAGGCATCCAAATACAGACTCCACTCTCAAGGGCAAGAAATCTGTGTTCTTCATACAGACACCCATGAACACCTGGGCAGTGTCAGCAAAGAGACCTTGCGGGTGTGCACGGTCACATTGACTTACCAACTGACCTGAGCCTCACCTGCATCTAGGGTAAGAGCTGGGTTCCTAGCCGAATTGAGGCCTGCCTCCTCTCAATTCTAAGTGTCTTTGGCCCTGCCCAGATCCTGGCCACCCTTCCTGTTGTCTTGGAAAAGACTGAGGAGCTGCTGCTTCTCTCTGTTGGTGTGGCCTCTATACCTATCTCTTTTGGGAGAAGAACCTAGCTGGAGCCAAATAAGGGGTTTATCCACTTGTGAGAGCTGAGGATACCCTACCACAGTGAGGGGCCAGACGAAGGAGGCCTGCTTCTCCAGAAATCCACTGGCAAAGAGGCCGGTCTAGGATGGGAGATGGAGGCAGAGCCTGGTGAAGGAAGGCCAGTGAGTATCTAGAGAGAACTGAAGGCATGGTGGGATGCTGGTGAGGACAAGGAGAGTCTGCTTCTGGGAAGAGCAGAGTCAAAGGTCACAGAGAGGAGCAGAGACTTGCTCAAAATTTCTTGTGAATTGATCAATCTTCTCCAATCAACTCCTTGAGCCACGGAGACAGGAGCTGACCTCTGCCCTGAGGAACTTGGAATCCTGAGTGCTCAGAGACCCCAGTAAACCCTTTGAAGGAATAGGTCCTGGCAGGCTCTGAGGAATGTAAGGACTGGTCTTTGAGGCCCAAAAAGGATTTAGAGAGCTGGAGTGGTATTCATTTGCTTTTGTCTGTCACCAGTACTGGGGGCCCCCAGGGCCAGAGGAGGGAGCCATCCCATGGGAACGACCTGAGAATTCCCACTTCCCCAGAGGCGCCCCCTTCTCAGACGTCCAGATGGCCAAACAGACAAAAGGCAGAATTAGCATGAGAATTGACCCCCACCACCCAAGAGATGAGGTCATGGGCTGGGGCAGGGAGGCGGAGACTGATTTTAGAAGACTTGAGCTGAGTGACAGCCCTGTGTTTGGCCCTGTGTCTGTGTGGGAATCTGCTGTGTATGAGTTCCCCTCATGTCTAAAATATGGGTGTGACCCAGCGTGTGATGTCTGTGTGTATGTGACTGTGTGGCTTTTGTGTGACGCTGGTCACTATGAAGAGGGAGCTCAAAGTGCCAGGACATGCATCTTCAGCTGGGGCCACAGCTGACCCTACTTTTTCTCCCCAGAACCCTACTGGAGGCTGAGAACTCTCGTTTGCAGACACCTGGTTTTGGTTCCCAGGCTTCCCTTGACTTTCAGGGTAAGATGAGGGGCCAGCTGAGCCCTGAATTTCTTTAAGCCTTTACTTTTATCCTGACAGACCTTTTCCAAGTTGTACCAATCCAAGTCTTCATTCCCTACCCCAACAGTATTGAGCATGCTCTTAATCTAGTCAGTGGGTGTCAGGCACAGGACCTGATACTCTGACCAGCCAGTAGTGAGGGCTGCTCAGAGGCGAGGGCCAGGACCTCCTGACACTGTTTCTTCCTCTGCCTTTCCAGAACCCAAGCTGCAGTTGCATTTCCTTGGGACTCCAGAAGGCCACCGCCTGGGACCTGTGCTCCCTGTCCTCAGCCCAACACCCCTTCCTTCCCTCTTGCCTTATACCCTTGAAACTCCTGAGCCAGTCTTTCTGAAGACACAGGAATTCCTCCAGGCCCACACCCCCACCTTGGCCAGCACTCCCATCCCACCCACACCTCAGGCTCTCTGTCCTGCTACAAATGCAGAAGTGAGGGCCCAGGATGCTCCCCTCTCCCTGCTCCAGACACAAGGTGGGAAGCCACAGACTCCAGAGCCTCGGTGGGATGAAGCCAAGGTGGCTGTACCTGCCAGTAACCTCCTAGGACTAGAAGAGCCTGGGGGCAAGCAGCTAGTGGCCAGTACTGGCCACTTCCCTGAGGATCAGGCCGCCTTGGCTCCATCCGTCAACTTCGACCAACCTACTTTAGAGGCTAAGGATGGAGAACCTAATGGGTCTAGAGTATCTATCATATTCCAGGAAGATGAAGGGCAAATCTTAGAGCTAGTGGAGAAAGAAGCAGCCATAGAGGTCAAGGTAGAGAGCAGCTTAGGGCAAGAAACACGAGAAGAAGGTGGTTTGGAAGAAATCCAGGATTTCCAGGATCCTTTAGGAAAGGAAACCCTGAAGGCTGTGGGAGAGGAGCCACTGATTTCTCTGAAAATTCAGGGCCATGAGGCACCAGGGAAGGAGAATCTCAAATCACTGAGGTCTATTGAAGAGAACAGTGAAACCCTAAAAAGTTTAGAAAAAGTTAAACAAACACTGTTGAAGCCTTTAGAAGAAAAGGATATGGAAGCAGAGGGAATTCTAGAAAAGGAGGTTCCTGAACTACCTAATCTAGGAAAAGAAGACCTGAGAATTGTGGATCAAGAATTAGTGACATCTCCTGAAGGTACTCTAGAGACAGTTTCATTTCTAGGAAAGGAAAATCAACGAGTAGAGGGTTATCCAGATGAGAACATAGAGTCTTTTAAAAAGAGCCAACATCTACTGGGATATCAAGAGGCAGTGAACCATGAGACACTGAGATCTCCAACAAATGAGGATCAGGAGCCACTGAGGTCTGTAGAAGAAGAGGAGCAGGTGATTGTGAAACCTCTAGAAAGAGAGAATCAGGAGCCACTGAAGTCTCTAGAAGAAGAGGAGCAGGTGATTGTGAAACCTCTAGAAAGAGAGAATCAGGAGCCACTGAAGTCTCTAGAAGAAGAGGAGCAGGTGATTGTAAGACCTCCAGAAAAAGAGAATCGGGAGCTACTAGGGTCTGCAGAAGAGGATGAGAGGATTGTGGAACCTCTAGAAGTGGTGAATAAAGAGTCCCTGGGGTATCTAAAAGAGGAGGAGCAGGTGATTGTGAAGCCTCTAGAAAAAGAGAATCAGGAGCCACTGAGGTCTCTAGAAGAAGAGGAGCAGGTGATTGTGAAACCTCTAGAAAGAGAGAATCAGGAGCCACTGAATTCTCTAGAAGAGCAGGTGATTGGGAGACTGATAGAAAAAGAAAATCCAGAGCCATTGAGGTCTCTAGAAGAAGAGGAGGAAGTTATTGTGAAGCCTCTAGAAAAAGACAATCAGGAACCACTGAGGTCTCTAGAAGAAGAGGGGCAGGTGATTGTGAAACCTCTAGAAAGAGAGAATCAGGAGCCACTGAATTCTCTAGAAGAGCAGGTGATTGGGAGACTGATAGAAAAAGAAAATCCAGAGCCATTGAGGTCTCTAGAAGAAGAGGAGGAAGTTATTGTGAAGCCTCTAGAAAAAGACAATCAGGAACCACTGAGGTCTCTAGAAGAAGAGGGGCAGGTGATTGTGAAACCTCTAGAAAGAGAGAATCAGGAGCCACTGAATTCTCTAGAAGAGCAGGTGATTGGGAGACTGATAGAAAAAGAAAATCCAGAGCCATTGAGGTCTCTAGAAGAAGAGGAGGAAGTTATTGTGAAGCCTCTAGAAAAAGAGAATCAGGAACCACTGAGGTCTCTAGAAGAAGAGGAGCAGGTGATTGTGAAACCTCTAGAAAGAGAGAATCAGGAGCCACTGAAGTCTCTAGAAGAAGAGGAGCAGGTGATTGTGAAACCTCTAGAAAGAGAGAATCAGGAGCCACTGAAGTCTCTAGAAGAAGAGCAGGTGATTGGGAGACTGATAGAAAAAGAAAATCCAGAGCCATTGAGGTCTCTAGAGGAAGAGGAGGAAGTTATTGTGAAGCCTCTAGAACAAGAGAACCAGGAGCCACTGAGGTCTCCAGAAGAAGAGGAGCAGGTGATTGGGAGACTGATAGAAAAAGAAAATCCAGAGCCATTGAGGTCTCTAGAAGAAGAGGAGCAGGTGATTGGGAGACTGATAGAAAAAGAAAATCCAGAGCCATGGAGGTCTCTAGAGGAAGAGGAGGAAGTTATTGTGAAGCCTCTAGAAAAAGAGAACCAGGAGCCACTGAGGTCTCTAGAAGATAATAACCAGGAGCCCTTTAGACCTCTGGAGAAAGAGATCCAGGAGTCTTTGAGGTCTCTAGAAGAAGAGGAGCAGGTAACTGAGATGCTAAAAAAAGAGGATCAGTACTCATTGAAATCTCTAGGAGATGAGGACCAGGTGATCTTTAGACCTCTGGAGAAAGAAAACCAGGAGTCCCTGAGGTCTCTAGGAGAACAGGGCCAAGAGATACAGAGATTTCTTGAACAAGCGGCTCCACAGACACTGAGTGCTGTAGAGAAAGAAGACCAGATGGCAGTGAGATCACCAGAAAAGGTGAATCCTGGGCTACTCCAGTCTCTTGGAAATAACCAAGAGATAGTTAGCTTTCTTGAAAAAGAGAATCAAGAGTTATTGACACCACTGAAAGAAAGTATTGAGACAGTACAATCTTTAGAAACAGAGGACCTAGAACCACTGAAGATTATAGGAGAAAAGGACCTAGAAATATTAAACTCTCTAGAAGCTCAAAAGTCACTGTGGTCAGTAGGAGAAATGAATAGAGAGACAATGAAACCTCTAGAAAATGAGATTCAAAAACCACTGGAGTATGTGGAAGAGAACGAAGAGACACCACATCCCCTAGAAAAAGAGAATCAAGACCTGAGATCTCTGCACAAGTGGGACCTAGAGACTGTGCAGTCTCCAGAGTGGGCAGAGAAGGAAAGTCAGCAACATCTGGAAGTGGAAGAGTGTCTAGAAGTGGGAGAGAACCTGGAGTTACTGAGGTCTCTGGAGGAGGGCCAGGAGCTGCTTATGTCTGCACATCAGCTGAGGTGGAAGGATATGGTGGAGGACCAAGCACTGGGTCAGGACCTGCCCCTGGGAAGGACTGGCATGGACAGTGAGGACCAGGAAAAACTGTACTTGAGTGGGCAGGGTGGGAAGGAGGAGGTGAAAGAGCAGGGAGGGCTGCAGCTAGATGCCACAGGGGAAGCCTGGAGACCAGGGAGCCCTGAGCCCAAGGAGCGGAGGATCCCAGCAGAAGAAGCCAGCAGGAAGGAGGATCAGTTAGAGCAGATGGGGACCCCAGGCCTCCCAACTGCTCAGGGAAAGCCTAAGGTCACAGAGCTGGTGTTGGAAGATGAGGATATAGCTAGAGGGGGTGACCATGCCTCCCTAGAGGTTACCCTGGGGTCAGAGGCTACCAGAGGTTGGTCAGCTGCCGAAGCTGGACTGGGACTGACACAGGAGGTGGTAGGGCTAGGGGACCCAGGGCATCTGGCCAGGGAAGAGGCTATACAGCCACCCCTGAGGGAAGAATGTTTGGAGGTGGAGAGAGTGCAGGACTTGGAAGGGCCTGGAAAGGACCGAAAGGAGGCAGAATTCCTCGAATGGCCCAAGACCAGTAGAGACCCTCTGGAACCTCCAAAACACTGTGAGGTGCCAGAGCCTGTGGCCAGCTGGGGAGAAGAGGAAGCACTCGCAGCAGAGATCTCAGGCCATGAGGGCAGTGATTCCTCTCCGTCTAGGCCCCCAGAGACAGAGGAAAATGAGGTCGCAGAGCCAGAACTGGGACTCCCTGATTCCAGGCCCACAGAATCCCACTTACCCACCCTAGTCCTGGAAGATGCCCTTGGTCTACAACCTCAAGGTGAGGGGAGCCGGGAGGCTGGCTGGGGACAGGCAGAAGCCCTGGAAGGGGTAGAAGCAGAGCAGCAGTTTGGTCCTGGGGAGGACTCTGAGGCCCTCCAGGATTGGGAAGAGAGCAAAGAAGACAGTGAGGCTGATGAACTAGGAGAAACGCTCCCTGACTCCACTCCCCTGGGCTTCTACTTGAGTTCCCCTACCTCTCCTCCATGGGACCTGGCTGGACAACAGAGGCTTTCCCCTCAAGGGGAGGCTACGAAGAAAGGCTGGGATCCTGCTGTCCTGGGCCCCCAGGGCCTTGGGGTCCCGTTCTCTGATGAGGATGTGGAGGAGGAGCAGGGCCATGACTCTGACCTCTCGGAGGAATTTGAAGACCTGGGGACTGAGACCTCGCTTCTCCCAGGGGTTCCCAGAGAGGTGGCAGAACCTCTGGGCCAGGTGCCTCCACTGCTGGAGTCTGCATGCTGGGACCAGGGTGGGGAGTCTGATGGATTTGCTGATGAGGAAGAGAGTGGGGAGGAGGGAGAGGACGAGGAGCACAAGGCAGGGATGGAACTGGGGGTTCAATGGTGGGGACCAGGGCCCACTGTTGGGGGTCTGCAGGCCCAGGATCGTTTTCAGAGAGGGAACATCCAGGAGCATGAAGCTGTGGGTGTCAGTGGTCCCTGGGATGACAGCTTGAGTGGTGCTGAGGCAGATGTCTCTGTGACTGCACTGGAGATCAAGTCCCAGGATGCTGCTGAGCCTTCTGGCTCAGAGGAGTCTGACTCTGTTTCTTTGGAGATGGAGGATCAAATGTCTGGCAGAGAGGTGAAGGGCATAGGTACATGGGTAGGAAGCACCTCTGGTATCAATGGTCAGGGCCCCAACTTGGAGGAGTCAGAGCATGTGAATGGGAGGGTGATAAATGGACTGGAACTATCTGAAGGACAGGGAACACATGGGGACCAGGATGAAGGACTCCCTTTACAGGAAGAGGAGGGGAGTACCCTGAAGACCCCTTGGGTAGGATCTCCTGTGCACCTGGTCCCAAGCCAGTTCCCAAAATACCCTCCGAGGGAAGCAGATAGGGATTCCTGGTCTTCGGGGGAAGATTAGAGGAAGCTTCTTTGCCACCCAGGACTTCCTGGGGGAGGGGGTCCTGCTCAGGGCCAGCACCCTTAGCTTTGATACCTTGGCCTGTGGCTTCTGTCCTGGAGAGGTATCCCTGGCTGAAGGGAGATGGGATATGGTCTTGATAGGAGCCTCTGGTCCAGGAGTAACCTGCTCGTACTTTTCTGAGGGCTCAAGTCAGCTGAGTCCTTGTAGTTACAGGCTCCCTTTCTTCCACAACTCACCTGCAGATGAAAAGGCAGAGGTTGCTCTGCCCAGGGCTTGCTGGCCCTGCCCACCGGCAGTAGCACCATCACCACAAGGCCTGGTGTCTGGTCAAAAGAATTGAAAACTGCACTTGTGACTGACCTTTTTTCCATCTTAGCTTGCTGAAGTCATGTTCAGATCATCCCTGCTTGAATAAAGTTGTGCACCCACTTATGAAGTCTGGCTTCTTCCTTCCTGCCTGCCTTTATGGGGTCCTAAGGTTGAGAAGCAGAGAGGTGGGAGACTGAGGAGGACACCTAGAAGCTAGGCTGGGAGGGGCTGCCTCTGGGAGGAAAGGCAGACTCCTGGGGTATGGTGCCACCCTGGGGAGGCCAGGTTGCCATCTCTGCCCACAGCACTGATTACAGGGAGGAGGCCTTGGGTCCTCCCCACTAGCCCCTCAGTGCCGCCAGCATAATTAGGCCCCAGGTTCCCAAACCCAAACAGTTGTCTGGCCTGTGATGACTGGCTGGGTTGGAACGGGGGGAGAAAGGAGGGAGGCCCTGGTCTGCTTTAGTCTGGCTGTGTGGCTCAGGTCAGCAGTTAGCCTCTATGAACCTCAGACCCAGCTTTGAGTGGCCAGCCTCTGGGTTGCTGAGAGAACAGGAGATATGCTTGGGGAAGCCTGCAATCTCCAGCAGAGACTTCTGAGGGACTTTCCTCACAGGTATAGGAGCAGGTGAAGCAGTGGGTGAGGACTGGGGGTGTGCTCCTCACTGTACACTAGGAGTGGCTTGAGGCTGGGTCCTGCCAATGGGCTTCTCCCCCAATATCTGTGTACAGGGTAGGGAAACACCAGGGGTTCCTGGATTAGGCACCCAAAGGCCTCAAAGTTGAGATCCCCAAATAGAAAGCACTCCTCAGTTCAGCTGTACAAGGGGGAAAATTTGTGCCCAGCTGTCTTTCTATCCCAATGGTGGGACTAGCTGACCTGCACAAACAGGCCATCCTGAGGCCAGAGCAAGTTCTCCTTAGCTTCAAGAAGGCTGAGGACTGAAAACGGTGAAAGATGCAGTCCCAGCCCCTCCTGGTCAAGGAGGATAGGCATGGGCTGTCCCAGCCAGCTGGCACCAGGGGCCTCTCTATGCATGCCTTTCCCTCTCATCTACACTGGTTAGACTCTTAAGGCCTGTTTCTTCCACACCCCTGCCCTTGGGGTCCAGGATCTTGACTCTGGCATTCCACCCTCCTGGCAGCCCAAGCCTCCGCTCTCTCCTTCCTGTGCCTGCTGTCAGGCACAGGACCTGTCTGATCTGCCAGCTGCCAGGCAGAGGACCAGCGTGTAGGCAGCAGGCAGGCAAGGTCTGCTTCTCTAATGGAAGAAGGCACCCTGTGTTTTATCTGCCTAGGCCCTTGGGCACCTCTGCTTGGGTGAATGCCGAGGACAGAGTCTTGGCCAAATAGCCCTGCCCTTTGCCGGATGCCCATTCGGTCCCCCACAGGCCTATGGTCTTCTAGAGTTATTCTGTTGATGCCAATAACCCTACACCAGAGTCAGCATGTAAGATAGAAAAGATGACTTCTCTAAAGGGGTATACAGTGGAGGCATGATCTCTACAGAAAAGGTTGTGTCCAAGCAGCAAGAGAAGTGAGGGCTGGACAGAAACAGAAACACAGGGACTTCAGTTTCCTGAGAATGGGCTGGGCAGGAGCAGGCTGGAGTCTGTAGGGAGGCTACTCCAGTGGTACAGGCACAGGGCAAGGTACAGTGGGGAAAGGTAAGAAGTGGGGGATGAAAGAGGTCTGAGCTGTGTGAGCTGTGTGGGAGATGGGGCATGAGGCAGCTGACAGAGAATCCAGGAGGAAACTGACCTCTTCAACAGGAGCCCTGAGGGAGCCACAGGGCACCGCTTGAGGCTCTGGAGAGAGGACCAAGTGGGGACAAGAGGCAGATCTTCATCAGGGTGCATGTGGAGTAAAGCGAGGTCCACACAGAGCTAGCGAACTTCCAGAGAAGAAGCTGCTGCAAGGGGGCTGACCCAGTGGCCACTGCCTCTCAGGAGCCTCTCACATTATAAAGCTTTGGGGAAGCTTGGACTGGTTGGTACCTGGAGGGCCAGTAAACTCAGAGTGAATGAGTGACCTGACAACAGGATGCACTTCTGAGGGCGGAGTCCCCAGCGGGGGTGGTGTTCATCTCCCAACATACACATAGCATGAGACAAGTGGGAGGTTATTCTGGGGCCTCCTCTGGTAAATATAGCCTCTGAGCTAGCAGTGACGGGTGGGGGGCCGGAGGTGGCTTCCTCAGTTTGTTTGGGGCACTTCCTTATAAGGCTGTGCAGGCTGAGGCGCCTGTGAGGTCAGGGGCAGACTTCAAGCCCAGTCTGATGCTGTCCTGTAGCTGCCAGAAGTCTCAAAGGAAATCAAAGTGCAGGCTCTGGTCTGCTGCCAAAGGCCCTAGGAGTGTGGCTTCTTAAAGGGACCCTTGGCTTCCTGCCTGTGGGCACCTGGTCCAGGTGGGGCTCTCAGAAGGTGAGCCCCCACTCTCCCAGGGCCTTGGCTTTCTCCCTGTAAGATACTGGGTGAACTGGATTATCCCTTGAGGCTCCATACAGCTCTGACACCAGTGGTGTCTCCCTGCACCCTCAGTGCTCAGCCTGTGGGTCAGAGACTCAGCATTCACTCATTCTTGCCTGGAAGATGAGCTCCAAGCCCTGCTGCCCACAGCCCCCACCCCAGCCTCCCCTCAGGGAACCAGTTGCTGCCACTTGACCTGCTGTGCAGTGTCACAGCTGCTGTGGGCCCTGCCATCCACTCTGGTGGGGGATGGGGAAATGTGATTTCGCTTTGTCTGGAATGTGTTCAGTGGACTGCTATAGAAGAGGAGCCCACCCAGCCTAGGTTAGCCAAGAAGACTCTGGCTGACTGATAGGTCCCTGGGTTCCTGTTGGACCCCATCCCACCTCTCAGAGGAGGGCTACGTTCCAGGATGGCCTCTGCAGCAAGACAGACAGAAGTTAGACTTGAGTCCCCTGGGAGGAGAAGGAAGGAACAAGTCTGTCTGTGGTAAAGTAGTGGATGCAGAAAGGTTGCCAGCAGCTATCCTTCCCACAGGCCACCTCAAGAAGACACACAGGAACATGAAGCTGTCATAAAATTGGGGCAGTGCAGGGACAGAGTGGCCTCAGTGAGGATTTGAGCAGTCTGTTTTGGGAGGCTGAGGAAAAGGTGATGCCTTTGCCTGCCTCTGCTTCCTTTACTCCAAGCTCCTGTCATCCCATTTTCTAACCCAGCACCCACATATCCAGACAGGCTTGTCTTTCTGCCAACATCTCAGTCAGGTATACGCCTCTTGTCCCAGCCCTCCACAGCCTGGTACCCAGGGGCTCTGATGTGTGTGTCTGCTTGCTCTCCCCCGCCCCAAATGGGCCCCTGGTATTTGAACCCCAGCATGCTCTTCCTCCCCTCCTCAGCCTCTCCTCCAGTCATGAAGTCCCCTCCCCATCCCCATGACTCAGCTGTGACTCCAGAAATAAACTGAGGCAGGTGCTAGGAGGCCTCTGTTAAGGAACCTCTCCCTGCAGCTGTGGGCTCAGCTGCTCACAAGCCACTGGTGCCTTGAGCCCCAAGATGGGAGACTTTGGGGGCCCTTGGGCTCTCTTGGTATTCTCTGGAACCCCATGTCCCCACTAAAGGAGGCCTCATTCACTACCCAAGGACCCCTTCAACTCTTTCCTCTGTCTCCCTTTACCTTCCCCTCCCCTCTGGCCTGTCCCTGAATCCCTTGTTTTGTCCAGGATTGCAATGAGTTCTAGTCACCTCAGAGAGAACTTCAGCTGGACTTTGATGGGGAAACTGAGGCACAGAGTGATGGCTTTTGCCCAATTAATACTCATATTTAACTCTAGTTCTAAGTCAGCAGTCTTCCCTTTGCCAACAGTCTACCTACACACCAAGGTAGAGTCATCTGGAAAACCAGAGGCCCAGGGTCCAGCCACTTAGCCTATAACCTGAGACCAGGTTCAGTGGAAGTTTCCCACTCTCCCGCTCCCTGCCTCCTGCTTTTCTCCCAGCTCCTTCTGCCTTTTCTCATGTTCTGTCCCTGAACCTTTTAGTTATTTCTGTCCAGGAGGAAGTAAGCTGCTTTGCAGCAGGCCAAGAAGTTAGACTTCAAGAAGGACTTCCACGTGGGGAAGGGAGAGCACAGCCTCTTGCATCAGGCCCTGAGAGGCACTCTGAAAAAAACACTCACTTGTGAGGTCTGACAAGCTGAACATTTTTGGAAGTTTTTAGGAGTTGCTGAGCCACTGTGGACACCAGGACAATGGGACCCTTTCTCTCCCTGTGCAGAAAGTCAGGCCCACAGACAGGCCTGGGGCTAGGACAAAGGCCCCAGCGAGGGGAGAGTGCTGTGGGAAGCAGTAGGATGGGGAGGAGCTCCTTGTGGTATGTCAGAGGTTTCTTGAGGCAGCAGGAATCTGACCATGTCACAGGTTCCCAAGCCCCTACTTGTTGCACAGGCTGGATCTCCTCTCTCTGGGCCTCCCTATTCCCAGGAGACTAGACACCCTTCCAGAGAACCCCACGTTACATATGTGTGAAGGAGGCTGAGCAGAGCCACACAGCTAGGGCCTTAGCAGCACAGCCAGGTGGCTATAGGTGTGGTCCCTACTCCATCTCCCCATAGCAGAAGTGAGGTACTGTTCCATGGGGCCCAGTCTTCTACGTGTACTGCCTTGGGTACAGGGCACTGCCGAGTCACCCCTGGACACCACCACCCCCCTTCCCCAGGAAGTCCAACAAAACCAGGAGAAGGTTTTCCTCTTCCTGCCTGCCAAGAGGACCAGCAGGTGGTGGTGATGAATTCTAGTTCCCACCCTCCTTCTACCTCTAGGACTCTCATCACCCCGAAGATAGTGGACCCTAGAGACAGTGAGAGACTCAAGAAAGAATGGCCTGGTGAGAGGGCTGAGAAGCTCAGAGCTCCACAAATCCTACATGCTATCTAGATTCTGCCTCAGTGAGATCAGAACCCCAAGGACAGACACTGCTCCCTCTCCAGCTTTCTCCTTTTCAGGCCCCACCCTCAAAGGTCACCTGGGGTCCTCTGACAATGCCAGCCCTCAAAATGCATGGAGTGGACAGTCAGAGGTGGATACAAGATAAAGCAGGGATCCATTCTAGGCCTGGGGTCACTCTGGTCCCTGGTCCTTAAGAACTGGCAGTTCACCCTCTCTGGCCGTGCCAGGCTGGCATGGCTGTGCAAGCTCAGGTCAAGTAGGTGGGCCAGAATTGGACGGGATGTGATGGTGAAGGTGGAGGGTGTGATAAGTCAGAGCTGGAATCCTAGAGACCACCTGTCTTAGGCATAGACGCAGGATGAGGAAGGGCCAGGAGAGTCCCAGGCCTTGCACACACAGCCTTCCTGAACCTCGGTCTGGGCCTCTCAGCTTTCTGGGTCTGTCTCCTTGCCTGGTTTACTGGCTTTTAGAAAAGGACTAAGAATCGCTCCCGTGTTCACTTGAGTGTGCATGTGTGTGCGCGCACGAGGCTGCGTGACCAGGCATCAGGATCTTCAGGCATAAATCACTGGTGCGTTATCAGCTCCCGGCTGGCAGTGATCTCATCATCTCGGCCTCCGCTGACTCAGTCCCCACAGCCCGGCCGGAAGTCCAGCTCCCCTCCACAACCCTGCACCCCACGCGTCGGAAGGGCCGCGGCGCCCTCTGGTGCTGGTGATGTCCTGATGCCCCTCTCGTCCGTGTCCACTCCCTGCACGAGGTCCTCTGGAGCCCGTGCCTGTGTCCGCAGTGCCCTCTGCTGGTCACAGGCTGTGAGACTCAGGGTGGCCTGAGGACTCCTACCAGCCTTTTAGCTAGAAGCAGGGTTTCTAGCTGTCTGTCCTCTGCAGAGCCATCCTTCAGCCCCACAGTCCCTGTGACGCTCAGAATTGGCCACCAGGAGGCCCTCTCCCTAGCCTGGACGTCGATGCACCTGTCTTGGCACTGTGTCCCTATTGCTGTCCCAATCTCAGCTGGTTCCTGTTCCAGAGTGCTCATTGGGTAACCCTTCCCTGCTAGGCAGGCACTATCTACCGACTTCTCTGACCTTTTGGAAGCTAGTGATCACAGACACACAAGAGTATCAAACTTGTTTAGGCTCAAACAACTTTATTTTCGGTTGGTTTTGCTGGCGCTCCATCCTGCAAACCCATTCTCTTTGAAAATCAAGACTGAGTATAAAATGTTTCCTAGAGAAATGAGGAGCAATTGAAGTCTGGCAGGAGAAGGCAGCTGAGGCACTTAGGGACTTACCCCTGTCCTGAGGGTAAAACATGAGGCCCAGGTAGGGGAGAGAGGGCCTGGGCTGGGTGGAGCCACCCAAGTGTTTCTCAGAAGCCCAGCCCCCTCAGGCACTGTCCCCTGGACTCCAGTCCCACCCTTCTCACTGTCACTCCCTGTCACGAGAACAGTATAGGGTGTGAGGGACAGTGGGGAGATAGGGTAGTGCTGGGGGAGCAGTATTCCAGGCCTTGCTCCCTAAGGACTCAAAGGAGGTGTCAATAGTAACTTCCTGTGCCCTGGGAACTGTCCCTTTGATCCTCCTGGAGTGTTCACTGGGCGCAGAGCACGGGCCTGGGGAAGACAGACACACTTACCCTCCACACTCACCTCCTTTTCAGCCTCCCCAGTGCCCTGGCTATTTGTTCCTTGACCCCTGACCTTTTCAAAACACTGGCCCTGACTCTGCCCTTAAGAGCCCAAGGGTGGCTGTATGTTCCCAGCCATCAGAGGATCCAGAGACCCCCCTCCTCCCCGCTTCCTTCTCAGCCTGAGAGAGGAAGTGGTACTCCAAGTTCATACAATCAGTGAATGACAGGCAAAACTGGCTCTGGAGCCCAGGGCTTCCAGTAGCTGATGGCCCCCACCCATCTCCTTCTGGCACTCACAGGCCTTTGGGGCACACAGGAAATCTGAGGGGGCTCCCAAAGACCGTTCTGCTGGCAGCGGATCAGTGGCAGGTTGCGCTGGGCCAGGCCCTCTCGGCATCGATACCGAAGAACAGTGTCCACCTCATACCGCAGCCGAGGGCGACCAAATATTTGAGCCAGAGGCAGCTCTGGTGGGGGCCCACAGGACACTGCAAAGGACACACAGTTAGGAACTACCAGCCTGGCTTTGTGGATGATAGGTCCCAGAAAGTTGATGGGGAAGAGAGGAATGGCCTCGGATTCTGAGTGGGTCTGGACAATTTGTCACTCCTCCCATGGTCTGGGATCCATTCTGACAGACTTCTGGGTACCTTTGTGCCCCTCCTTCTATGATGGCAGCCCCAGACACCCTCACCCTCCTCACCACCCTCACCTAGGCCCATCTTGCAGGTGTAGGACAGGTGGTAGTTGCAGGGCACGTCACTCCACTGTCCCTGGTCATGCCACACCATGACCACACAGTTCTCCCCAGACAAGAAGTAGCTGTCAGGCTGCCCAGGGTTCCAGTTTTCATAGAGCTGTGTAGGGGGATGGAGAAGGCAATGAGGAGCCCCAAACCCATTAACACTAGGGGAATGGCCTCAAAAGACTGGAGGGATAATGGAATAGTCCCCAGGATATGGGAGGATAGGGGTCTGGGGATTGGAACACCCAGAAAGGGGAAATAAAAGGGCAGGGGCTTTGGGGCAGGGAGATGGGAGCCAGAGAGAAGAGAGAGAGGAGCACAAGGAAGGGAGATGTACAGGGAGAAGAGGAATGGGAACAAAGGAGGGGAGAAGAGGGAGAAACAGAGTAATTGCTAATTGAGGGCAGAAGGACTTCAAGGAAGTGACCTAGACTGCAGTGTCATGAGAATGCTCACCAGAGGGACACCATCTGACCACAGGAAATCGCCTTCAATGGTCCTGTCATTGAGCCCAATCCACTGGTACTCCCTGTATCGATCTGAGGAGGAAAGTCAGAGGTGCACTGAGCTGTGAGTGCTGTTCCTGGGCCAGTGAGTGACTTTTTGGGGAGTCCATCCCAAAACCTACTCCCTAAATCTTGCTGGCCTGTGGGTACTGGATAAGGACGAGGTCTCTTTACCCTGAGACTACCACCAGCACCTCAAAGACTGCAGACAACCCTCTTTTCTTTTTCTTTTCAAGTAAGACAATTATATTTAATATCATAAAGGCTCTCCCTGTTCTTTTAAGTGACCTCATACCCCCATGGATGCTAGAGTGGGGTTTGAATAAGTGAGTGAGGGGGGAGTGAGGGGGTGTGAAGGGGGAAATGAGGGGGGAGTGAAGGGAAAAGTGAGGGGGAGGGGGAGAGGCGGAGTGAGAGGGGAGTGAGTGGGGAGTGAGTAGATGTAGAGTGAGTTGGGGTGAAGGGTGTGCAGGAAGGGAGGCCTCGCCCACCATTGACAAATTCCTGCTCCTCTGGAGTGCAGATGCTGGTCAGGTGTGCTCCAAGCATGCGGCAGTGGCTTTCTGCCTCCTCCCAGTTCCTTCGGGTAGAAAAGTGCTTGTAGCAGGCCCCCTGGAAGGCATCCCAGCCTGGGCTGCAGAAATGGAGGCCTGGGGCAGAGAGAGCAGTTGAACCTTTTAGGTCTGAGGACCAGGAAAGATAGAGGTGCCTGGTCTCATTGAAAGGACTGTTGTTGTTCTAAGGTAGTGTGGGACCCAAAGCTACTCTAGTGAAGACAGGAGCCCCGAGCTTGGACAGCAGCAGCCAGGGTAAGTTGACTCTGTAACCCTAGTCAGTGAAGCCCTAGTTCCTGGAAAAGAGCCATCTCCTCCTTCCTGTTATGGAGAAGGAAAGGCACACTATAGCACTCTGGCCTAACTCCTGAATGCCAGTGTGTGCTAAGTGCCAACAGGTGTGGTGGCCCGCCTAGTCAGACAGGATGTTGGGAGCAAGGTCCAGACAAGCTATGTAACTTGTCTGAAGTGGCAATTCATTCATGATATGGCCCCAATCAGTGACTCCCCATACCCCCAGGGAACTAGTACATTGAGGCAGGGTACAGGCTTCAGACTTGTCCCCCACAACCCTCAACACACTCACCAACATCACACAGGTTCCCCCCATAGCCAGGCAAACACAGGCAGCGGAACCCCTCCTCCTCCTCCTCCTCCTCCTCCGCTTCTAAAGTGCTGGGATCACAGTCCTCCTCCTCCTCCTCCTCCTCCTCCTCCAAACATGTCCCACCATTGTGGCAGGGGCTTGGAATACAATCACCTGAGAAGGGGAGAGAAGTGAGGTGGGAGAGCATGGAAGTGAGCTGTGCAGTCTGAGCTATCCAGGGCAGGGTCTAGCTGTCTCTCAACCCTGGGAGCTTATAGTTCTGATTGGAGTCTTCCTTTGCCACAGCTGTTCCTGAGTTTTGGCTTCTTTCCTCACTTACCCCCAGTTCTTCCAGGGGCTTGGAATACAATCACCTGAGAAGGGGAGAGAAGTGAGGTGGGAGAGCATGGAAGTGAGCTGTGCAGTCTGAGCTATCCAGGGCAGGGTCTAGCTGTCTCTCAACCCTGGGAGCTTATAGTTCTGATTGGAGTCTTCCTTTGCCACAGCTGTTCCTGAGTTTTGGCTTCTTTCCTCACTTACCCCCAGTTCTTCATTAGCTTATCCTTGGGCAACTGGTGAGACGAGGCTATCTCCCACTAACTGGAAAGGTACTAGGCTGTCAGCCATGAGACCTGGACTCTTGCCAGTTCCTGGCTAGGCCACCTGCCTTCTCCAGCCTTCTCTCTGGGCTCTGCCTAGGTGCTGTGGGGGCTGTCAGCCATTCTGGTCTAGCTGACCAAGGAAAATGGCTTCTCCAACCAAAGATCCAGGCCAGGTCCATCAGACCTCCCAACCAGCAGCTGAAGCCAAAGTCCTTGATGTTTTAGGCTGACCTGAGCAGGGGAAGGAGAAGTTGGAGCTGATTGGAAAAATGTGCTGGGATGGCCTAGATATATTAGGGAAAACTGGTCAGTTAGCCTTTCTAGTTCCCCTTGGCCCCCAGTCTCTCCGCCACAGGTGGAGCTCTCCCCCACCCCAACTCCCTGTTTTGGGGGGAGGATTTTTTTTGTCTTTTTGAAATAAGGTCTCCCTGTAGCCCCAGCTGACCTGGAACTTGCTATGTAGACCAGGCTGGCCTCAAACTCACAGAGATCACTTGCCTCTGCATCCTAAATGCAGGGATTAAAGGCATGCACTACCATGCCAGCTCAACTCCCTGTTTTATTTAGCCAAATAAGTTCTAGAGCCAGGAGAGAATGAGTCCTGAGGCCCTCCCATTCTTCATACCTGCTCCTCCTGTGTCCTCTTCTTCCTGGACAGTCCCCCAAACTTGAGAGACAGAGACCTTCAATCTCTGTCCTTGGCCCCCTGCCCCAGGCCATAAGTCCCACCCCTGGCTTTTGGGCTGCAGAACCTAAACCAAGAGTGGGAAGTGTGGGGTAAAGGAACTTCGTAGGTTTTGTCTTCCTTTCCCCTTTGGGGCCAACTACCCTCCACAGTCAGAAAATGTTTATTTCCCTCCTGACACAGCAGGCAAGGGGACCTCTTGGTCCTCCTCTAGATGGCCTAAGACACTGCAGTGGCCTTCAAGAGTGTCCCTTTTCCTACCACACCCACTCCAAGGCCAGTGGGCAGAGAGCAAACAGTTGAAATGGGTGAAATGACAGTGATGCAGGGGTGCCTGCCTTTTCTGGGCCGTCATGGGGGCTCCAATGGAGACTGGACTGTAAGCCTTCTGTGAGTCCAAAGGCTCCTCTCAGACCCTGGAAGCCATCCCACCCTCCACCCATCCCACCCTGCTGAGACAGGTCCTTTGGGTTGAAAAGAGTAAAACCATTCTTCCTGGGGTTAGGAGTGGTCATTAGTGCAGGGGTTAGTACAGGAGGGGGACACTGGACACAGGGGTTAACAATACTATCCCTTGCTGGAATTGAGGGAGGAGGATGAAGTGCTAGAGCCATGGGAAACAGGAGAACTGGCTCCATCTCCATGCTGATTGCCCCAGTCACTGCAGGAACTGCCATGGTGAGTCACACATCACACTCCCACCCCAGACTGTGTGGGCTTCTTCCTGTAGATGACAGAGGAGGGCTCCTCTGGTGGTGTGTACAGTCAAGCCTGAAGTCTCAGCAGTAAGGAGGGGGAGTGTAGACGGCCTTAGGAGAGGCAGAAGGAACAGTATGGGCTGCTACCCTGCTAGGATAGCAAGGGCGTTGACTGGAGGTGAAAAATAGGAGCAGCAAGGAGATACATGGAGAGACACAGAGAGATGGAGGAGAGCACGTGGAATCAAAGGGAAGTTGAGATTCATGATGCAGACCCCGCAGTGAGCAGAGACAGCTGGAGATGGACAGGATGTCAACAGTTGGTTGCAAAGTGGTTTAATAGAGATTTATTTCCAAGGCTTGTTTTTCAAGAAACAATTAAAAATACTTCACAGAAGTAGAGGCTTAAGGCTCTGTGGGGTGAGTGCTCTTCTGGTCTCCAGAGGTGAGGGGGGTGGGGATGGTCTCCCAGGCTTCCCTGAGATCAGTGAGAGACAGTTAAAGGGACAGAACATGGGGCACAGGGAGGGAGCAGCAGGGGATGGGCCTGGCTCCACAGAATGCAAGAGGTGGTGAGGGCACCCAGAAGAGGCATGGGGATGTTCTGTGAGCTACAGAGGGCCCAAGTGTAATAAGGTTCTCCAGGGTCACAGGGAGAGAAACACAGAGCTGAGATGAAAGTCACAAGGTGGGGCATTCAAGATTGGAGACCCATAGGGAGAGATAGGTAAGTGAACGAGGCCAAAGAGCCAGAGGGTCTAGGGAGAAGATGGACTAAAGGCTTACATGTCAGGTGACCCAGAGCTGCCAGAGGAAAAGGAGGAAGAAGGGGAGCACTGAGCCTTCAGTAGAGTTACCTGATGAGGGGGCCACAGCCACTTCACCTTGGCTGGCACTGTCGGTGGGCAGCACCGGCTGGGTCTGCACTGAGGTGCCTGCTGGGACAGTTCTTCCAGACTTCTCTTCTGAGAGGCCCTCCAGCTCCCTGGCTCCCTCAGGGGACCATGTGGCTGGAAGCAGGGAAAGGCCATCCTCGGAGCTAGAGCTCTCTGTCTCCTCACTTTCTCGAGGGACCCCAGAGAGTTCAGGACTCCCAATTTCCTCCCCTACCTCTCTTGCCCCATCTGGAATGGACGCTAGGCTTCCCTCTCTGGGAGAGGGCAAAGTCTCTGTAGGTGGCCCACGAACCTTTGGAGGCCTGGGAGCTTCTGACCCTACATCAGGAGAAGGTGATGCACCGGGCTGCAGAGCTGCCTGAGCTGGAGGGGACCCCTGGGAGAGTGACAGCTCTATGTCCCAGTCAGTGGGGAGAGGGCTGCTGAGTTCCCTGGGCCACACCCGCAGCTCCTCCTGCTCCACTGTCTCCACTGGAGTCTCTTCTTCATCCTTGAATTTGTCTTCTTCCTCCAGGGCCATGTCTTCTTCTGAGGACCCCGAGGGCAGCGTAATGGATTGTGTTTCCAGCTCTGACCATAGCAAAACAGTTCAGCACAAGGGACAGCGCCCCCGAACCCAGCGAGAAGGGCAGGTGGGGGGGAGGAGAGCGGGACAGGACAGGGGACACAGAGACGGGACGCCAAGGACACGGACGGGTGGGCGGGGGTGTCACTCAGGAGAGGTGCTGTTTGTGCCTAGCCTCCAGAGGAGAGCTTTGATGTGGGCTGCTTTGTGAGGCAGTATGTGGAAAGGCTCAGCAAGCTGACATTGGCTCCAGGAGACAGGGCTGTTGCATCCCACTCTCCCCGTGTGTCAGCATTCTCTGATCATTTTGGGGTGGGTAAGGGAAATCTCTTTCCCAGGGGAGCACCCCCTTAGTCCAAGCTTCACTAGCTTCAGAGAATTGGGGGTGGAATTTACTTGAAAGTTTGTGAGAGGGACAAACAGAGGCCTTGCACCATGGAGCTGCTAGGAAAGGACGGGGCAAAATCATGCCAGCCATGACCCTCAACATCCACCTGGGCCTCCTCCTCCTGCTCCCAACTTCCTTCAGGTGGTGAGAACCCAGGGTAAGGGCTTGGAGTTACCTAGGAGGGTCCGAGGGGCCTCTGCTGGGTCTTCTGGGGTAGAGCTTCCTCCTCCCCCATCTTCCATGATGGGAATAGAGTAGATGGCCCCACGGGATTCACTCTCCATAGCTTCCTGTGGCAGCTGCAGTTCCTCCAGCCTCTCTGTCACTGTGACAATGGCCTCTAGTCCATCAGAGGCTGGGCTGGAGGCCTCAGGAAGGGCAGAGTCTGTGGCAAGAGGAAAGGACCAGTTGAAGGCTAAATAGGCAGCTGAACCCTCCCAGGGCATGACCTATATGTGAAGATCTGGGGCACCCTGAAATTTCATTATTCACTCCTTGGGTATTAATGGCATGCCTACTAGTGTCAGGCCAAGAGGTCTCTGGGCACTTAAGAGTTTGGTATAGAGAACGATAGGGACTTCCACACTCAAGGAGACAAACATAGATAATAAGCACAGTAGAAAGAACAATAGAGTAGTTAGAAGACAAAGTGAGGGGCCAGGACAGGCTGTGGCAAGCTGCTCCTTTAAGTGAGGGGACACAGAGTGGAGTGTATGGAGTGGTCTGTGCACCTTGGGGGCTGGGCTTGGGTCAAAAAAAGGTCAGACTCTATCTGCCAGGCACAATGTTCAATGGTCACCGCCAGAGGAGCTCAAAGCTCAGTTGGGGCAACAGGGCAAAGGAAGAGAGAGCTTTGAGGGGATTTTACTCAGGGGTTCAGGATGGATTACCTTGTCCTCTGGGGAGAGAACCCAGAACAGAAACCGATGACTCCAAAGTAGAATTGTGCTAAGAGGAGCCCAGAGAGTTGTTTGTGTCCAGATAGCTCAGACAGTACTGTGTGTTTCAGGATCTGTGACCTGCTCTATTAAGCCTTGCTCTACCCCACCCCAGACCAGAAAAATGATGGTATTTCTCCCCACTTTCTTCCAGGTGTGCTTGGTTCTTTGTGAACCTGAGGTTCCACTCTCTGGGTGTAGTAATGTCCATCCATCAGTATTTGGTGGTTAAAGACCTGACACCTGTTCACAGTAGGTTCTGTAAGGCTCTTGAGAGCTCCTGGATGCATCTGGTTCACTGAAGAATGGGAGCAGATCGTTCACAGAGGAGAATGCTGGCAGGAAACAGCCCCAAGTGAAGAGGCTGCTTTGACACTGGCAGACTGGCACAAACTACTAAGGGAGGCAGGTAAAGTGATGCAAAGGCCTTAGGGCACATACTCAAAACCTAGAGCTCAAACTGGGTGCTACTCAAGACCCCTTTGGGCAAATGACTAAGAAGTTGGTGAGAGCTAGGGCTAGACTTCCAAGCCTGGCACTACCTCAGTGACACTTGCCTCGGAAGCAGTAGACATTGTAGCGGCTGTGTTTGCTGGGAAAGCCAGTCTGGTTGGGGAAGAGAAAAAGGGTCTTGACCCCAGGCAGGCCCCCACCACAGCGCTGGCTAGGTGTGACAATGGGATAGCGCACACTGCCATCAGCCAGCCAGCCTGGGCTGCATCGGTCCAGACCACCATCCCACGCTGCGTACAGCTGGCCCGTGCTGGCAATCTCTGCACCCCGCTCCTGGCAGTAGGCTTGGGCCTCTTCCCACGTCAGCTTGTCTGGAGGGGCACCTAGGAACAGTTCTCCTGGGTGGAAAGAGGAGGAGCTGGTCAGCAGGCAGTTGACAGCCCTTCTATCCTAGGCTTCTACAGGCCCCTGGGTAAGTTCCTCATTCCTGATATGACCGTGTCACCCACCTGATAGTGTCAAAGTTTGCCTGGAACCCAAGATGAAGCCTGGAGCTCAGAGGAGCCTGGCCCCACTTCCTCACTCTGTAGTCCTGCCGTTTGAACAGCAGGGCTCTGTAGAACTGCAGCTCACCCCCATTTTGTTGCCCTTCCCCATCAAGTCTGATCAGGAACTTTCTGTGGGACAGTGTTTGGAGGGGACATCAACTATATTCCTATGCTGTCTGTCTCCTTAACCACGTGAGGTCCAGTGGAAGTCCCAAGGGGCTGTGTTACAGGAGGATCTGTCATTCCAATCACCATTTAGGTCCTCAGCATAGCAGTAGGCATCGTACAGGTCTTCAGGATCGACCACTCCATAGTTCCGGACCCCAGGGTAGCCATCCATGTCTCCATAGCAGGCCTCTCTTGGGGTCTGAATGGGATACCTGGGAAGTGGGGTGAGATCAGAACTGGTGTGTTCCCCCAAGGAGCCATCCCATATTGATCCATGGTGGTTGTTCCAACTCTGCAGGGACACACACCCCAGTCAGGGCCTCACCCATTTTTCTTAGGCCAATATCCTTTCCAAAGTCATGGAGCCCTGGGGGATCCCAATGGAGGAGCAGACACCCTAGCATGACCAGAACCCACCACTACTTGAGACAAACAGAAGGCCCTGGTCCCCAACCACAGCACACCTCACAGTCTGATCAGACAGCCAGCCAGCATCACACTGCTCATAGCCACCAAGGTAGGCGGCATACAGCTGCTCAGGGGTGGCAATTCGGGCTCCGATGCGAATGCAGGCTTCCTGGGCCCCAGCAAAGGAGAAAGCATAGCGGGCAGAGCCCTCCCGGTAGAGAAAGACGACCCCTGAGGGGCAGAGAGGACTCCTGAGCCTGGTGATCACCCAGAACGCTAATCTTCCCATCCCCTTCCTGTCATTCCCTGTTCACAAAAGGCAAAGTCCAAATTGTGCTCCCTCTACAGCATGTGGGACTTAAGTTAGACTGTGAACAGAATTTTCTCCACCTGAAAAGAGAAAGGTGGTAACAAAGACCTGGGTCTCCTCCCTCCTCTTAAAACTCAGTCTGTGCCTTCTGTGTAAGAGGTTTGCTGCCAGCCTCAGACTCAGCTCCCTGGAGCAGAACTTTCCCTATTCTCTCTGGGGGCCTCGCTCTACTCTGGCCTCTCACCTTTGACTTTGACCTCCACAGCGTCGCTGCTGTCATCGATTCCGTGCTGGACTTCGCAGCGATAGACGCCAGAGTCATTGGGCCGCAGCTCGCTCAGCACCAGCGAGACATCAGTGAGTGACGCGGGGTAGGCCGGCAGCGCCACGCGGAACCGGTAGGCCTCGTTCACCTTGACCCGCAGCCCGCGCGCCACCAGCACCTCCGCCTCGCGATCCCCGGACAGGAAAGTCCATTTGACTCGGGGAGAGCCCAGCGTGGCCCGGCGGCCCGGCGGTAGCAGGTGATTGACATGGCACGGGATGGCGAGGGCGCCTCCCAGCACGCCCCGCAGCAGTGCCGCGCCGATGCGCACACGGAAGGCACGATCCTCTGTAGGTAGGGGTTGGAGCCGGCTGCTGCCAGACGCAGGACGCAGTGCGCCTGTGCGTGTGGGCCTTCAAGCCCTGACCCTGGGCTCCAAACCCCGCCCCCAGGGCCCAGGCCGCCTAGCATGCTGAGCCAGCCCAGGGTGCTATGCCCAGCCTGGGCACTGAGCCCCCCCCCCCAGGATGCTACCCACCCCCTCAGGGTGCTGAGTCCCCGCTACCCCCCGGTTCTGAGCTGTCCAGGGTGCTGAGCCTTTCTACCTCCGAGAGCGCTACTCACTCCCTCAAGGTTCTATCCCCGTCGAGGGTCCTGAATTTGATTCTCCACCCTAGGGTCCTCAGACTCCCATCTCATGCCCCTTTGCTGCCCAGACCCCAAGATTCCACTATCTACAGGATCCTGGCTCAGCTCACACCTTTTCTGCAGTTGGGCCCACAACAGTCTGATTTCTGTCTCCTCCCTGGCCCCCTGGTTCCATGGCTGGAATCAGGTGGCTGGGGTTGACAGCCATCTGCCCTAGGTGGATGCACCACAGATACACTGGCCCTCTGGAAGGTTGCTTACCTGAGCTGTCCCCTTCGAGGTCATCAGCTAGAGTTGCAGGGGCCTGAGTCAGTGCCAGAGCTGCCAGCAAGGACAGAAGCACTGGGACCATGCTGAAAGCTGATGGAGGAACTTGAGGAGGAAAGATGGAATGTGTGGTTAGACTTTGGGATGGACTTACCCTAGCTTCCTGCCTGGGCTACACAGAGAATCACCACTACTTCTGGTCTTCATCTCCTCAGTGCCAAGATGTGTCCTCAATCACCTCACTGTGGCACCTAAGCAGAGCTACTCAACATGTTTGGGCCTTTGTTTTCTTTCTCGTAAAACAGCAACGTCATGACCACCCCAGGAGTTCCAATGGGCTATGTGCTTAGAGAGGGTGAGCAAGCTGCCATTTGTATCACTACCTATTAGCTATCATTATCTACCTATCATCTATCAATCAACCATCTTCATCAGGAAGCACTCAGCCCATAGTATGTGCTTAGGAAATATTTATAACACCATTAGAGGGTGGTATTGTTCAATCAGCTCTTGTATACTTGGGTTACAGGTTACACATCTGTGCCTTCAACCAACGACCCATTAATTTTTTTTTCCCCCTTTGGTCTTTTTGAAGCAGGGTGTCCTATAGCCCCAGCTGTCCTGGAACTCACTATGTAGACCAGGCTGGCCTTGAACTCACAGAGATCTGCCTGCCTCTGCTTCCCAAGTACTGGGACTACAGACATGCACCACCAGGCCCGGCTCCAACAACCCATTAAAATGGTCAGAAAAAGTGTCTATACTGAACACATACAGATTTTCTTTTTGGTCACTGTTCTCTAAACAATGCAGCTATTTACATGGCTGGTGTGCATTTAAGGAATTCTGAATCACCTAGACATAGTTGCTGTGCACAGAGGACCTACACAGGCAAAAACAAACATAAAACCATTCTATGTGAGGGTTTGAGCTCATGCAGATGCGGGCAGTTACTGGAGGTCCTCCAGCCAAGCCCACAGACATGCAGAGGGGGGATAATGACAGTGATGACACCGTGGTTCCACTTTCTCCTGCCCTTGAATGCCAACCTGGAGCCTCCTGCCTGAGCACCACATCCACCTAGCCTCCTCCAGGAGGGCCTCCTAGACTGTCCCAGGCAGGCTCCTCCTCTGCCTCCTTGCCATCAGCAATTGTAAAGAAGCTTCCCTTGGTGCCTAGCATCCCCTGTGTGTGTGTGTGTGTGTGTGTGTGTGTGTGTGTGTGTGTGTCCTGCTTTGCTCCTAGCCATTCCCCTCTGCCTGGCACGAGCTTTCCCACCGGATCTCCTGGCTCAGAAACTAGCGGGGACAAAGCCCCTGTCCCTGCCAGTCTGGCCTCCATCCAGCTGTGCCTTCCCCCACCCATCTTTTGTGAAAGCCTGGAACTGGGAGTGTACTGGGGGAGTGAGGATACAGGGAACCGCCTCCCCCTGCCCAGGCCATCAGCTGTGGAACCAGTCTATCCTTTCCACGAGCCCAGAGCACTCATCTCTCAGGGAAAATGGAGATGGATGTCCAGAGAGGCATAGAGCTGACTCTGGGCCACCAGCAGAGCCAAGGCAGGCAGCAGGCCACTTGCCTTCCCCTCCCCCTCAGGGAAGACTGCAGAGCTACTGCTCAACATCATCTGTAAGGACCAGGCTAGACTTGAAAGAATACAGGGACCCAGATCTACATGGACTAGGCTGATGATGCAGCAGGAGGGATGAAGGTTAGACTGCAGGCAAGACCTACAGATGGGGTTTTTTCCAACCGGCTCCCTCTCCCACTCCTGACCCTTGGATTCTGTGCTTCACAGTCCCCCTCTTGCCTGAGCCCAAGTAATGGGACATTTCCTTCTTTTCCCAGGTCCTCCCAGGCCAGGCTACCCTCACTCCCACAGCTGTGGCCTCCAACCCAGGCTATAGCTCAGGACAGCACTGGGGGTTAGAAAGGAAGTCAGGTGCTAAGGCGCCCTAAGGGGGCGAGTGTGATGGAGGGGCCAGGCCCCATCCTCCAGTGGGAACAGGAGCTATTCATACGCGCCCCCAGCATCCCCTTCACCCCTGTTCGTGTTCCGACAGCTCAGGATAAGGGAGGAAGGCCTAATGTCAGAGGATCCGGCAGCCCTGGGACGTCAGATGCCAAAAGGGGCTCCTGGCGGCTGATCCGGCGCCCTGCCCCTTCCCTGGGGAAGACCAACCGCTTCGATGGAAGCCCAGGCTCGGACCGACCGCCCCTTTCCAATCCGCAGCTCTCTTCAACGGCTGGCGAGCAGCAGCGCAGGCTTCCCACTCGTGCCCGCCCGGTGCGCTCTGGGGCCCTCAGCTCGCCCGGGGTCCAAGTGACCCACAGAAGCCAGGCGCCGCCCATCGCTGCCCACGGCCTCGCACGCCGGGGTCCCAGGCTCAGGGAGGTCTTGGAACTGGCCCAAGGTCACGCCGCAAGTCTGGACCCTAGTTCCTCGGCTGCACCAGGGCCGCACTCACCTTGCTAGGTCCGGTGGCACAGCGCTTCCCCAGCAGCGGCCGAGACTGCCGCGGACTGCTGCGCGGGCGCTGCACAAAACCCCCTTTCTTCCCGCGTGCCCCGCCTTCCCGCCGCCCCCGCCCTGGCCGCCTCCGCGGGGGGCTCCACGGTCACGGGACCGCCGCCTTCTCTGCTGTTCCCGGCCGCGGCCAGGGCAAGGACAAGCGAAGTAGGACAGAGTTCCGGGGAAGACAGTCCAGGACTCCAGCGGGAGGGAGCGCTGGAGGACCGAGAAGGATGGAGGGGGAGGAAGGCCAAGTTGGAAAACTGGAGGGACTTCGCATGGGTGCAAGGGGAGGAGGATCGACTCTAACTTAGTGGGGCACAGGCTAAGGGATAATGAGGCCTTTCCCCTGGAAAAAGCAACACCACCCTGTAAAAACGGGAAGTTCTTGCTTTGGAGGTCAGGATGCGCTGCAGATGACCACAGCCGCCCCCTCCCCCGCTTGAGAAAGCTGATTGGATTCTGTGGACCTTAGTGTTCCCTCACCCTACATAGCCGACCTGACTTTGCAGTTGGCCTGGTGGAGGTTAATAAGAACCGTGGGTTAGGCAAAGCAGGTGAACAAACTTCTAGTAGCTCAGGGTGTAGTGGACGTTACTGATGGAGGAGACCATGGGTTGTACAAACCAATGTGCAAAGAGCAGTCATTGATGGAAGCGAGAGCCTGTTAGTGGAACCGGGCTTCCCAGTGTGCAGTCTGGTGCCAGGGGCTGGGCCCTGAAGGCTACCAGTCGCCAGCCCCCCACCCCCATCGTCGCTGCTTCTTCCTGCTTTCCCAGGCTTTCCACTTTTCTCCTTTCTCCCTCTCCTGCCAGGGACTCTAAGCAAAGCCCTGGCATGGACTGTAGTTGAGGCAGCCAGATGCCTGTCCTGGTTCCCCTGGACACCAACCCCACAGCAACTGCAGCGCTGGAGCTTTGACCAGATAATCTCCAGATCTGGAAACACAGCCTGCCCACCTGACTGCATCTTAAATCTCCCCCTGAGAATACGGGAGTTTCTTACTCATGCCGGGTGGACTTAATTCCAAAAGTCCTTTAGAAACTTGAAAAAACAAACTCTCCTCTCCAAAGCCTTGAGATTTTTAAAGGAAGGATTCTGGACTCTGCCTCCCACTATAGGGGCAGGAGAGAAGAAGATGGTTGAGATCATTCAGGAAGACAAATCTGGGCAGGGATGCCAGAAGTGTGGCTCAGGGAGAGGCTGGGCAGGAGGCCTCCGTTAATTTATTCTTTAAAGCCATGAACCAAACCAAAAGCCAACTGCAGATCAGGCCCTGTTGGGACCCTAGGACTGGTGGAGTCCTGCAGGGGGAAAGGCTCTGAGGCTTTGGGGGCCAGGTCTGGACAGCACCTGCGTGACTCACCAACTCAGTCTCCATAGGGCTGTCAAACCTTGGAATGATTCAGGACCTTCTGCATTCCTTCCAGGTACCAACTGGGCACCCATGAGGGGCCAGGAGGAAGGTCATTTTCTCTGTCTTCTCTGTTCAGTCAGGTTTCCCCAGACAAGGACTATGATTACAACTGAGCTACCAGCTTGGATTGAATTTCAGCCCTTTGGTTGCCTGGCTCACTCCTGGTGGCCTGCATCCTTGTGAAGCTTGAGTGCACTCAGAAAGCCTCCCTTGTTGGCAGCTGGGACAGTTACACTAAGGTCTAACTGGACTCAGCACTAGCCATTGCCAAAGGGAAACTTCTTTCCAGTTACTGAGTCTGGCATCTCGACCTATGGCCACAGGATTCTCCCCATTTCTACACCCCTCCCACCCTCTGAGAGGCAGCAAGAACCAAGCCCTCTCCATGTAGCCCCTCCATATCTGACATGGATCCTGGCACTGCCCAAAAGTGGAGCAGGAAAACCAGCTTTCCAGCACAGTCTCTTGTCACAACCATTGAGGATAATGGCTCATGTAGCCTTAGGGCTGTCAAACCTTGGAATGACTCAGGGCCTTCTGCATGAGGAAAGGTGATGTGCAGGGTCACAGGGTGTTGACACTGGCTGAGCCAGAAGTAGCTTACCCTAGACTGCTCTGCAGTAGGCTCAAGGAGAGAGGGAGGTGGAGAGAAGAGTTAGCAGGACGCCAGGGCACTCTCCTCCCTCTTCCCCACACAACACAACTGGCTGCCTCCCAGCCTGGTGTGGGATTTTTCCAGGCCCTCTAGAAAAACCAGTGATCTCTTGCCCTCCAATAGCCCCCATGCAGGCCAAAGCTGTGGCCAGAGGCAAGGACCCAAGCTCTCCCCAAAGTTTTCACCCGCTTCCTCAGCATTAGCTCTCACTCTGATCCTGATCAGCCCCTGGAAGGATCGGACCTTGGCACCTGTTCCTGCACTAGCAGCCATCTTCCTACCCCTGCTTCTTGTACCAGACACTTGGCTCCTATGCCATGTCTGGGAGGGGCTGAGCACTGGCACAACTGTGCTCAGAGAATGGGGGCTTTGATGGCCTCAGAAGGAGGCAAGGGAGCAGAGGGTGCAGTTCAGAAATGCCTGGGGGCAGCTCTGCAGCTGTGTTTCTGGCCACAGAGGAGACCACCAACATTCCCCACTCTGGTAGGGGCACCCACCAGAGGCATCACCTACTTCCCTGTAGGCCTCTCCCTGCCTCCTACTGGGCACCCTCACTTCTCTGTAATGCTGGGGTGTGTACCTCTCTCTCCGAGTCTCAGTTTCTTCTTCACATGTCAGATAGTACCAGCACCTTGTTGAAAGGTCTTGATACGGAACATGTACATATTTTTAAATTTTAATCTTGAGTGAGTGTGTGTGTGTGTGTGTGTGTGTGTGTGTGTGTGTGTATCACAGGGTCTGTGGAAATCAGAGGACAACTTTCAAGATCTTTTGTTTCTGGCCTGGAACTCACTATGTAGACCAGATGGCCTTGAACTCACAGAGATCCACCTGCCTCTGACTTCCAAGTACTGGGACTAAAGGAGTGTGCCACCATGCAAGGCAGGGATTTATTCTCTTGTCTCTGCCTCCCATCTTGCTGTAGGAGTGCTGGGATTATAGACACAAGGTACCCCATCTGTTTTTTGTTTTTTTTTTTTTTTTTTTTACATTGATTTGGAGATAAACCCAAGTTGGCAGACTTGCATAACAAGAGCTTTTACCCCTGAGCATCTCACTAGCCTGGAACATGGACAAATTTTATATCACTGAGATACACTGAGATACCGGAGCTAGCTATGTATACCAGGCTGGCCTCCATCTCATAAAGATCTGTCTGCCTCTGCCTCCTGGGTGCCTGGGAGGTCAGAGGACAACTTGCAAGAGTGGGTTCTCTCCTAGTATGTGGGTCCTATGGATCAAACTCAGGTTGTCAGGCTTTCCTGAAGAACCTTTACCTCCTGGAGCCATCTTGCTGACCCTAAAAGATTTTCTTTTAAAGAATTAGAAATTTGGGGCTGGAGAGATGCTATAAGCAGTTAAGAACATTGGCTGCTCAGAGGACCCAAGTTCAGCTCCCAGTACCCACACAGCTGTTAACAACCCTCCCTAACTCCAGTTCCAGGTGATCAGATGCCTTTTTATGCCCTCCATGGGGGTTGCACAATATGGTGCACTTACATGCAGAGCAAACACTCATATACATTTAAAAAGAAGAAAGCAATTGCAGTAGGCCACCACCTTGAAACATCTAAGACAGGACAGATGGAGCCAGCACAAAGCATGAAGGATCCTGCAGGACTCTGACCATGTCCTTCAGCACTCACCCCCACAAGAAGGCTCTTGGTGCCATCTGGACTCTTGGGAGGCTTTGCTGTGGTGTGGGCATGTGTCACTGAGGGCAAGGCCAGGAATGCTAGATTAATGCTCCAGGAAGGTGGCCACAGCCCTCAGGGAAACTGCCTGGTCATGGCTGACTTCCTTTGCTGGAGATCCTCCCTCAGAGGCAGCTCTCCTGTTTCCCCAAGTTCTGCTGTAGGATTAAGTCCCAGTGCTTTCCTGCTCTACAGCATACCTCTAACCAGCTTCTTTCCCTTTCTTCCCCCCACCACCCCACTCCTCTCCCAGTGCCTCTTAGTATCTCCTCCCTGGTGAGCTGCTCACTCATTCTCAACCCAAGGGAGCCCTTCCCAAGACATGAATGAAGACCAAGCCCTGAGCCTTTCTTTTCTGAATGCTTCTACACGAGGGTGGAGGAAAGTGTGTTGTGGATGACACACAGCAAAAGGGTAGAGGAGGAATGACAGCAACACATCTCCATGATCTCCATGGTACTCTTGGACATCAGCCACCACCACATAGAAAGCAGTGAGTATACTGGGTTGCATGGTGGCCATTCTTAATCCCTGGAACCTGTGACTGTGACTAGCTTGGAGGGAGGAGGGATTTTACAGTATCATTTCTTTCTCTTTTTGGGTGGAGGGATGGGATATCCCTGTAGCCCCAGCTGGCCTGAAACTCACTATGTAGACCAGGCTGGCCTAGATCTCACAAAGATCTGCCTGCCTCTGCTTCCCAAGTGCTGGGACTAAAGGCATGTACCACCATGCCTGGCCAGCAGTGGTATCATTTCTTATACAAACACATTTTTTTAATGCTTATGTATACATTTCTTTATTTTTTAGAAGAATTTCATTACAACAGCATTGACATATTCAATAACAATTTCTAGAGCTAAGATGCAGCTCTTTCAAAGTTGGCTGTAATTTTTTGGGGGGGTTAAGAAAGGGTTTATTTTATTTTATTTTTTAAATAAATAATTTATTGAGGATTTCATGCATGCATATAAGGTGTTTTGATGAAATCCATGCCCACTCCCTCCCCTCTAACTCCTCTCTAACTCCTCCCATAGCTCCCCATCACTTTTTTCTGATAACTTCATGTACTCTTTCTTTGATTTATTTATTTTTACGGGGCTTTTGGTTACTTTAACATTCTCCCCTCTGAAAAGGTAACCCTAAAATATTTTAAGGATTAGATACAAGCTCCCAAATACTTTCAACATTTTTGGCCTTTGGAACAGAGTACATTGCTATGAGGCCCAAGGACTTTTGACTTTTAGCCAAGAAACTGGCTACTTTTCTTCGGGATCTTTTTACCC